ATGGACAGTTAATGTATTCTGCACTACTTTTTGTTTGGTTTAATGAAAAAAAAATCTACAAAACAACAATTTTTCTTCAAAATTATATGTTAGGCTGTGTTTTAAAATGGAAAAACGCGATATTGGGTAATTTCAGGTAACTTGTCATCATTTTCTGTTAATGTGAAAATCAAGTAGATTGGTTATCGCTTAATTTATGAAAAAGGTCAGTCTTGAATGGATGTGATAATGTAAAATGCCAGTCTTTCCTTTAATAAGATGTCTTCTGATGCATTTCTGTTGCACATAATAAATGTCATTTTATAATAAATTCCGTTTCTACATTTCCAAGACAATTTTCAAACTTGCAACAATGTTAATGTTAAATAGTAACCCCTTTTTACGGAACTTTCAATTTCTATGCCCCTGCCATAAAATGGCCACAGTTGCACACATTCAACTCAAATCTGATATATGGACATATCATAGAACAAGGGGGCCATTGGCCCCAAAGTGCTCACCTGATGATATACTGTTATTTGTGTAAGGGCCAATTTTTACAATAGGGCAAACTTTGAACAACTATGGAAGAGGACCTATAGATGATATTAAAAAACCAAATATCTAAGCAATGTATCTTCAGACAAGAATATTTTTTAAGTTTTTACTTTATACATATAAGGAAAACCTATCACCGTCGTTGAGGGGCCAATTTTGACCCCATGGCTATACAATCATGTAATTTGAACAATCTTGGTAAACTACTAAAGTACCACTTCACAATGCTATGAGCCAAATATCTAACATCTAGTTTTTGTCAATTCATAGGAGAAGACGTTTTTACTATACATGTATATACATATAAGGAAAACCTACGCTCAGAGGCACTTATAACCCGACACTTACATTTCAAGAATTCGCGATTTAAACCCATAAGCAGCTACACCAGCACTTTCCCCGTAAACTTTAAATTCTTTAATGGAATGGCGCTCTTTCCACTTACCTAACCAACCATCAGTATTTACAAGTTCTTGAGCAAACTTTAGTGCTGTCTCTTCAATAATTGGACCAGAGATTGGCATATTTTCAGCACGTCCTCAAGGGACAGCTAAGTTCTACGACGTTTAGACGATGTTTCGTTCATTATGACTATGAAACTAATGCAAATTTCTGAAAAGACCATTATTTAACCTTAAGATTGTTCTGTCTTCATTGTAGTCAATTAAAGTTTGCTCACTTCTTACCTGTAAATGCCTTTGAAATTCATTCAGTTTGTAGAAATGTTGTTAATTGCATAAACATACATATTGTCCGATGCTAGATAATAAATAAGTACATCAAATGCAATAAAATCCCTAAATTCAAGTCAAGTCAAGTCAAATTTCCTTACAATTACACACATTTCATGTTATATTAACATGGTAATCGTGTTACGTGTACAAAATTTTATCATGTAACGAAGTTGATAAAAGGTATTTTTTTCGAATTTAAATTCTTTTTTTGAATATTTTATTATGTACTTTAAAATAAAACTCAAGACACTTGTACTCCGTAACATCCTCAAATCTTTCGTTGTTCAAGATAAAATTCTAGTTTGTTGTCGTCCATGATTTACAATAAACTTCATACAAATTTAATGATTTTTGAAAATCTTCAGCCGATTCAGATAAAATAACAGTGTCGTCAGCGTAGAGTAATAAAAATCACGAATTTCGTCTGCGTTTTGGTCATTCTGTACATACCGTGATTCCCATAGTGTCATTACTATTTGCAAAATAATCGTAAAGGTCGACCAAAAACATTAAAAAAGTAGAGGGGACAAGTTCACTCCTTGACTTCGTACTTTTCGAAATTATCGTCCGGAATTCAGAAATTAAAAGTTCCGGAATTCAGATGTATTATTAATTAATGTATTTAATTAATATTTTAATATATGTAATCTATGACCCCTGAGGTAGGGCCAATTTTTACCCCGGGGCAAACCTATGACACGCCAGGGCGGTGCCAATTTTGACATTAGGGACACAATTTGGACAACTTCGGTAGAGGACCTAAAGATGATACCATATACCAAATATCAAAGCTCTGGACATTTTACTTTTAAATTTGCATTTTTGAAACTCCTTTTCTGGCCCCGTGACAAACTGATGCAACAGACCAGAACTAATTGAACAACTTTGGCAGGGTACCACTCAAGGATCATTCCTTTTTGGTTATTGTGCAGTCATTTGGTTTCAGAGAAGATGTTGTTTAAAGAGATTGTTGATGACGCACGATGACGGACAGTAGAGGATCACAATATAGCTCACCAAGAGCACGTTTACACATTGATCTACTTTCTTGTCCTTTGATGTAGAGCTATGAAATTTTGACAATGTTCATAGTTTTAGATATAAAATTGATCTTTGATGTTACTTGACAAAGATAATTTATTGAAGTGACCTACTTTCTTGTCCTGATATACAGCCATGAAATCTGGACCAGGGTCCAGAAGCAGTTTCTGATGTTGGACTTTGATATTAGCTGACCTGGATGATTTTGATGAAATGACCTACTTTATGATGTACAGCTATGAAAGTTGGACCATGTGCATAGTTTCAGATGTAAAATGAAACTTTGATATCAGCTGGGCTAGAAATTTTAACGAAGTGACCTACTTTCTTGTCCGTGAAATATGGACCGTGTGCATAGTTTTAGATATAAAATTGAACTTTGATATAAGCTGACCTATACTTTTATTAAATGACCAACTTTCTTGTCTTTTGATGTAAAGCAATGAAATTTGGACCATGGACATAGTTTTAGATGTAAAAATGAATTTTGATATCAGCTGACCTAGATAATTTGACGAAGTGACCTACTCTATGATGTACAGATATGATATTTGGATGTAAAATTTAACACTGAAAAATATGGAAATGATACATGCATGGACAGACTAGACCTCTCTAAAATATTTTTGGTGCCCTCACTTTAGGGATGGGGCAAGTAGAGATGCCCTTCTCCATCCGTCAGTTCGTCTGAACAACTGAATAGGACAGAGGGCGATCTAACTGTAAACAGAACAGAGAAAAAAAGTTCATTCTGTAACAATAGAGGATGGGGCCAATTGCCCTCTATTAAACAAAAGAAATTAACAATAGAAATTGCCCTTTATTCCTCTTTGGTCGGATATCTGTCCATCCGTTCTCATGTTGTGTCGCATATACCTCTAAAAGTGGTGCTTGAGCTAGAGACAACACACTGATCAACCATTGATTAGCATTTGAAGTTGTGCATCTTGGATTGTGCATATGGATTTATTTAGTTTTGTCAGAGGTATTGGCCTTGGCATAGTAAAACATTTGTGTCGCGTGTAGCTCCAAAAAATATTTGATTTAGAGTCATAAAATTTAACAGCATGTGTAGTTGTGCACTTGGGACTTGGGGTTGGCCTGCGGATTATTCAGTTTTAGTTCACCCGAGCTAGCTCAGGGTGAGCTTTTAGGATCGTTTTAAATGTCTGTTGGCCGTCCACATTTGTTCGTTAACACTCTAAATGTCACATTTTTGCCTCAATCATCAGCAAAGTTTGTCAGGATGCTTGTCTAGGTAATTGCTCGGATGAGTTCGAACATGGGTCATCTCCGATAAAAAAAACTAGGTCACAGGAGCCAAAAATAGAAACATCTTCTGAACACTCTAATTGCTACTCTTGATCCCGAAGTCCTGGAAATTGGTCTGAAACAGAGCTGCATTACTGGTACTGCAGTATGTACTGCAGCGATATTGAAAGTACTGGTACTGATACTGAATTACTCTTACAAAATTTTGCTACTACTGGTACTGGTACTGCATTACTGTCTTAAAAAGTGGTGCTGCTACTGCATTACTAGGCAGTACTTTTGGTTTTGATAAAAATGTCATCAATTTTACTAAAGTAAAGCTGTAAATTCCATGTATTAATTTATTTTTGTGAAAAAGTAAGTTATCAAATCTATAAATAATTTTCTTCAATATTCCTTCAAATGTTAACATAGTATTCATCATAAAAAGAAGCACCAAAGACTAGAAGTAACAAGAGCCCGGTTTGAGCCGGGTGATGCTCCCCGAATAGGTTTTGGACACAGGAAAGTACACCTCTGGTAGTTTCAGAGTTATGTCCATGGAAAAAGTTCAAAGTGCAATAATTCCAAAATTAGGAAAGGCAGAGTTACTGTTCTTTGCACTGCACTTCTAATCACTGTTATCTATCAACTTACCAAATTTCTTGTTAATATCTCTTATGGTTTCCGAGTTATGTTCCGGACAACTTCAAAAAGTAAAAACAAACAAAGGGCAATTACTCCAGAATTAGGCAAAACAGAGTTATGATTCTCGTGCACTGCACATCTACCCATTGAGATACATCTACCTACAAAGTTTCATGTTGATATCTTTTATAGTTTTACAGCTATGTCCAGTACAAGATTTTTCTTAAAGGGGAGATAATTCAAAAGCCGGGCAAAATAGAGTTATGGTTCTTTGATACTGCACATCTACCCATTGAGATCTATTCACCTACAAAGTTTCATGTTGATATCTCTTAAAGTTTTAGAGTTATGTCCCGGACAAGATTTTTCTATAAGGGGAGAGGCTTAACAGAGTTATGGTTCTTTTGCACTGCACTTCTACTCAATGAGATCTATCTACCTACAATGTTTCATCTTGATATCTCTTATAGTTTTAGAGTTATGTTCCGGACAAAGTTCAAAGTGTTGAAATTAACAAAGGGCAATAACTCCAAAATTAGGACAAAAAGAGTTATTGTTCTTATGCACTGCAAATCTACCCATTGAGATCTATTCACCTACAAACCAGTTCATGTTTTATATGCCCCGGGTTTGCAGTTTAGAGTTATTAGAATCAACCTACCAAACCTGTTTGCGTAAATTATTAGTAACCTCACGAGACGAAGTCGAGTAACATAGGGCGCATTTGTTGCCGATAAACCAGTTTTAATCACCTGTTTAGTTTTAATCACCAAAACTGTGGGTTTATCAAGTAAAAATGGTGGACAATGTATCCAGATATCTAATTTTAGAAGAATTAATGTGTTCTGAATACGATGACAATATTCTTTTGCTACAAAAAATAACCAGGAACACAGTTTGTAGCATGGCTGTTGCCACCACAACATTTAGAGAAAGAAAAAAACGAATCCAGAACTATGTGGAGGGAGTATTGCCATATTATAGTGTTGATGATTTTAAGGACAGATTCCGAATCAGTAGGGAAACATTCGACTCGTTAGTAGAACAAATGATTCCATACATAGGTAAAGGGGAAATATGCGTTGAAAAGAAACTGCTAATATATGTCAAGTATATATCAACACAACAGACGTATCAAGCTTTGGCAGATATATTTGGGGTATGCGAGTATTCTGTTCACAAATGCATTCATGAAATTTCGGAGAAAGTTTGTAAACACTTGCTACCAGATTTAGTGAAATGGCCAGAGAAACGGACAGCTGATAGAACTGTAGATGGATTCCAGGAAATCAATGGTTTTCCAGGTGTCATTGGAGCGATTGATGGAAGTCATATCCCTATCAGCACCCCAACAGAATTCCCAGAAAACTGTATTAACAGAAAAGGTTACCCTTCCTTGATACTTCAAGCAGTTTGCGACTGTAACCTTAAGTTTTTAGATGTATATTGCGGGTGGCCTGGGTCAGTGCACGATGCACGAGTCCTTAGAAATTCCCCGTTATTCAAGAGTGCTTCAGCAGCTGAAAGTGAAGAAATCTACATGTTTCCCATCAACACACATCTACTTGAAGATTCAGCCTATCCACTATCCAACTGGTTTATGGTACATTTTAAGGACTTTGGAAACCTCAATGAAATCCAGAAAAGGTACAATTACAAACATAGTTCAACAAGAATCTGCATAGAAAGAGCTTTTGGAGCTCTGAAAGGACGCTTTCGCAGACTGAAATTTGTGGATCTGACAGACATCAAAGCTATTGTGCATGTTGTACTAAGTTGTTGTTGTCTTCATCAACTTTGTCTGTACAACAGTGCTGAGGACATCCTGGAATTCATACCGGATAGCGCCGAGGACAACGAAGAGGTCAACAATTTTATGGACATTTGTAAAACATGTGCGTCAGCTGACGTGAAACGAAAAGCCATTGCCGACCTATTGTAACTTTGAACAGTACATGCATTATGGTGTATACCAAGTGGCAGTTTTATTTACAGATAAGATAATACATAACTGATTTAGTCAAAATTAAAAAGAAAACATTCATAAGCTGTGTTTCTCTTTTATTTAACTGAATGTTATAAACATAACAACACATGTAACAGAAAAGAAATTTTCTTAATTAATCTTGTACACTGTACACTTTTTCCTACAAGTCTTAAAAGTAAAATAAAGAATCTCCAATGAAAATATGATCAGTTGTGAAAAAAATCTAGAACAATATTAATTTCCACCTTCTCACATATGAAAAATAACTCACATATCATAACTAAACATGTCTAAAAAAAAGTACATGTCGAGTCAATTTACCCTAAAACTTTAAAAAAGACAAGGGCATTAAAAACTGTTAGCACAAACAAGGGTTCATCGTACGATTGTAGTTTCCACAATAATAAATGATCAAATAAAGCTCAAATAAAAACAAGTATACTTGAATTTCGAAACTGGTTTTCTTACAACAGGAATTTTGTTTCCATCATTTAGCTGATATTTGCTAAAATGCAAATTCAAAGTCTATCTTAAAATATTAAAAGATATATAAGTTCTGTCTGCAAAGGTATCGGTATCAGCTACTGTGTACAACAACGATGAGTGCCAAGCATATCTTTACCATTTAAACTTGCGCTCTGCCTTGTGTCTGCATGACCTTGAACTGTTACAAGAATGGACCAATAAACACACGCCATTTCATTATGTTAAACATTTCTGCTAAATTACTCCAGGCAGTTAAGAGAGATAAGGTGTGGAGACTTAACATATATAAAACCATTGTAAAGTGGAAGTTTGAAGCTCAAGTACTATATTGAAATTGTGTCAGTATAGCTTAAAACTGTACTGGACACATTATCTCAATAGCAAATACACAAATAAATTCAAAATCTTTAAGCAGTTTAAAAGATATGAAGCTAATACGACTCGCAGAAGTGAGCACACACAGAAAAACACACATATATCGCCCTACAGCTGTTCAATGGGGCATATTATAAATTCCATAGGTTTGAAATTCCTAAAATCATTTTAATAATATTTACTGCAGTATAGTTGATCTTACAAAAAAATAAACTAGAAGGCCACAACAATTTTTACAGCATGTCAAGAAAACTTGCTTTATACATACGTTTATAAAGAAGTTTCCACTATACTATTAATAAAACCACGCAGAATTTCCTTCTTAAATCCCTTTAAAGCCATGTTTTGAATGGAGCACAATTCAAAACTGAATCATATTAAGTCTATGGCAGAACTTCTTCCGAGAAGATCATTACTTTTATCATTTAATTTTAAAAACACTGTACATTTTGGATATCTAAAGAATGTAAGTCAGGTGCATTCTTTGCACGAAACACAAAATGACCAATTAAGTCAACAAAGTAGATATAAGAACACCTGGACCTTAAACTGGGCAAAAATTAGCAAACAAATTTGGCAGGTAATCTGCTGCCTAGTTGAAATGAAATGTTAGAACACTTTAAAAACTAACCATCTTACTTTAACAAGAAAACTGAGTAAGGTTTTATAAATTTCAAAACACTAATGTCTGTTCTTCAGACAGAACTTCCAAATCAGAATGAATTAGCACATTAACAATCCAGCAAACTGATACTTAATCAAGTGATTGCGTACTACATGTTGATCATTTTCAAACAGGTGATACTGTTATATGTGTAAATTACTTTCAAATAAGTGATACTTTTCTTTATGTTGAGCATTTTTCAACAAGCTGTACTGTTCTAAGTGTTGAGCATTTTCAAGCAAGCCATACCATTTTATGTGCTGAGCATATTAAAACGCAATCAGTTCTAGGTGCTGAGCATTTTAAAACAAGCAATACTGTTGTCCAGCTTTCTTAACTTCAATCTTTCAGTAATTTTGACAAAAGTTCAATTTTCTGTTTTTCAGTTGTCATTCTATCTTCATGTTGCTTTCTTATCTCAGTTAGTAACTCCCTTTGCTCTTCTTTCATATCTTCTATTAACTGTATTACTGTATCGGTTTTGTTTTTTCTTGTTTTTTGCTTTTTTTTCTTGATTGGTGAACTACATGTAGAAGCTCCTGGTTCTTCACTACCTGTGCTAGATTCACTTTCACCAGCTTCAGCTGTGATACAAGCCATTGATCCTTCACAATGTAATGGAGTAACATTTGGTCTGTACCCATATATTTCTCCAATTTCTTTAAAGAAAGGGCATTCCTTTCTATCAGCACCAGATTTTCGGTTATTATCAATTGTGTCTCTGTATGCTTTTGTCATGTTTTTCCATTTTTGTTCACACTGCTGCCATGTTACTGGTAACAGGTGTTCAGTAATTTTGTTTGCAATTTCTTGCCAAACTGTCTTTTTCTTAATAGCTGGTTTCTGAAATTTTGCTTCATTCTCTTTATAAAGTGCTATTAACCTAAGAACAGCAGGTCTCGTCCACTGAAAACTTGGGCTTTGCAATACTTCGTTCTGTGATACTGAAATAAAGTAAGACTTTTACAAATTTAAGTGATAAGAGAAAGAAACTACATAGCCATTTCGGGTTCACCTAAGCCTCAGGGACTTCTTTCTGTGGACCAAAATGTGGTTACAGAACACATATTGGTCCTTTAGACCTTTACCTTGCTTGGCCATCCCTTAAAAAATACAGTTTTTGGTGCTCCAATTTGAAAAGGGTATACAGTTCACTTGTGCCCAATTGTCTTACGTATGTCCATTCATCCTGCTGCTTTACAAGCAAGGCATTGTGGAACTACTGGTAGTGACTAATAAGCTCTGACAAGAGCTGTTCGTAAGACAGTGCGCTCGACTTTTCTAAGTGCTTGACACTAAATCAGAACTTTGCCAGTAAAAGGGGCTTAACTTAATAAAATAATTAATTCCCAGTTTTGGATTGTTTCGCCTGGTGTAGACTTTAAGTCAAAAGCTAAAAAGGGCCATAACTCTGTCAAAAATAACTTTAAAATAGGATTATCTGCCTTGCTGGTATGGGTTCCCCTTTCGAGAGTGAACAACTATTCCAATTTCCAAGTTTCAAGTGAATACCTTTGATAGTGTTTGAGAAAATGAATCGCCAGAAAAAATCACATGCAGACGCAGACCCACCCGCAGACGATCAAGTGACGACAATACCTTGACTTTTTTTCTACGAAAAGTCGAGCTAATAAAACACAAAATATTCAAATAATTTTTAGAGTTCTACCTCTTCTTAGAAACCAGTGATGCAATTTTCTTTTAAAATCTGAACTCTCATTTTATTAACCTTACAAAGCATATTTCTTCTGCTGTTACCTATCTTTCAAGAAACTTGCACCTTGCTTTTAAAGGAAACTTAAGCTAGGGCTTCTAATTTGCACAATGACACAGATTCCCATCTCAAAATCAGTTTTTTGATTACCTTTTGCCTTGCAGCTTTCCGACAAAGTACCAGGTGGACTGTCATCTGTGGATGAGTTATGAGGTGGACTGTCACCTGTGGATGAGTTACGAGGTGGGGTGTCATCAGTGGATGAGTTACAAGGTGGATTGCCATCTGTGGAGTAGTAACCAGGTGGGCTGTCATTTGGTAAATTGGGCTTCTGGGTTTCTGTGTGAAATAAACAAATATTTACTCTATACAATCCCACTCAAGTATCTATACCTCATGTTTTCAATTAGATTAGGGATTTAGCCTCAAATCTATCTCAGAACTTTCAAAAGTATTTGTATATCGAGGGGAAATGAGGAAGAGATCTAAGTGCTTCTTTATTTATATGCACTTATACCTCTTTCACATTCACCACTCGATATGTATCCTGGATATAACTATTTTTACTATCAAACAATAGAACTACAGACTGACTTGATCATGAAACTAAACCAAATGTGCTATATGTTTAGCATGTTTAGTTTAAAGATAGTTATTTTAAACTGATTGTAAACAAAAGCTCTTGCAACATATTACTTTTATTCAATAACTTTTTGAAGTTCACATCAGTGACTCACTGTATGCTACTTTTGAAAAGGAACATTTAAATCGAAGTAGAAGGTGTCGTACAATAACAGTCAAAGCAGATGGCGAATCCATGTTTTGCATGTGGCTACAATCTACAAGTTCATGCTGCACATAGTGCATACTGAGTGAGTTGGCACTAAAGCTAAGTAGGATATTGCTTTGGTGATTACCAAGTTGAAAGTGTTTAAAAGCTCTAACTGATAAGCAGTGGGTTTAACCTGACTAACCTTCAGCAGCCATGCAAATCCACCTGTCAAAATCATCCCTGTCAACCAAAGTGTTAACAACCCATGGATGTAATGCTTCAACTGCTTGCTTGCCAAGTTGATTTAAACGTTTTTGAACACCATCATACACTACTTCACTGTAGTTCTTTACTATGACGGGAATGTCAGCAGGCTCTACAGATTTTCTAAGTTCATTGCCGTAGGTTTCATCGCAAGCCAAGTATGATTTCAATGTAGCTGGCGACAAATACCGATGAAACTGTATAGGCACGACTGTACATAACGGCCCAATTGCCATGATTCTGAAAATATAAGTAAATTTATCTGCAACAGTAATTTAATGAGGATATTAGAGGAAATATGTATTAAAATATATTTTAGGCCTCGCAGGTCAACGGCTTGTAAGTGTGACAGACCAGCATGTTAACACAAGCAAAGGTGTCAGTGCTTTTGACCCTGACCATCGAAAAATAACACTATTTTTAACCGACAGTTTCCTAGATAATACGCTATTACAAAAAGCATCGCTTTAATTATCTGGCATTTTCAGTGTCTGTAGTTATTTCACACCACCTAAAAATTAATTAACAGATTAATTGTAGAGGTGTAAGGATTCATCCATGCATCGCAATCCACTATTCAACTAATGTATGCATCACAAGTAAAATGCCAATGGCCATGCATACAAGGTGATGCAATATGTTTATTTTTACCTTGCAATGCACCTTCGTTTTATGTGCACTATTGTTTATACAGAAAAGCACTTCACGAAATGGAAATGTCAACCATATACTAATTGTGACTTGTCAGATTAAATAATGCGATGAATATTCCTATTATGATATAGTTGTCATCTTTCATTGCAATTTAGGCTGCGTGTGAGGTAGTAAGACCCTAGTTGACATACAACTTGTCATTTTAAAAAATATTGTCATTAAATGGTTATGAATAATTTATTACTCTTTTTCTAACACTGACATATAGCCTGGAACCCCGTTGTATCGATCTATTTACCCATAAATCACAACTGCAGTCAAAAAATTTAAATTTCCCTGAATCTTTATTTTGTATCATTTATTTTGATTCTTTTGTCAAAAATATTACATGACAAACATCACTGATATATAGTTTTTAGCTTTGGAATAAACGGTTATTTACAGATATGTCAAACAGGTTTGAAGAATTAGGTCACGCCATTATATCGATGCATTGTGAGAATCGCTCAGTTAGTCCAAGTTTTGGAAGTCTGACCCATCTTTATGCTAGATTTTTCAGTCAATTAGAATCAAAGATGTCTGTTTTAAAATGTCAGCATAAATTTAGGAACTTTCAACAGGCAGTAAATGTGTTTTTAATAAGAACACACTAATTATAAGTCTATTTATTATCTACAAAGTCTGACGGTACTGGAAACATGTTTTTGACCACTTTTACGGCACAAAACAAATGCGAAAGATTTTCGTGACACTGTTGTAAATGTTAGCAATCAGTTGCTAGTGCATTTTGCAAAAAAATCGAAAGATTTGTAAATAGATCGATACAATGAATAGCACGATACAATGGGGTTCCACTATATAGGTTAGGAATTGACTTGATAAATGCAACATCACAAGTTATACTTATAAAGCATTATAAGCTGTGTCATACAACTTTGCAACTAATAAGTAACATTACTGTTCCGCTTAAAATGTTTAAAAAATTATGCTCATTTGTCAATTACCGATTTGAATTTTGGTCCAACATTCCTTCATGTTTGGCTGCCGCCATTTTTCCAGGAAAGTGCATGTATGTTCGGACAACCTAAACCGATCAAACTGCACCTGGAGGCAGTTTGGTCAGTTTGCTAAACCGGTTCTTGTTTCCGCTTCTAAAAACAACTAAATCAGTTTTAGTTTAAGTGAAAAACTGAAAAACAAATGTAGGGTTTACAAAACGGGTTTGAAACCAAACTAAGTTTATCGGCAACAAATGCGCCCCTAGTTGATACATGCTTATTAATTGGTATCACGTAACGAAGTATTTTAGTGCATTTACTTGTCCATAAAGATGCTATATAAATGAAACTAGAACTATCGCTGAATGCGATTCATACCCCCACCAATGTCCTTGACAGAAGACGACTTGGAAAGGTGGTTAAGGGAATAACTTAAGTGGCGCAAATACATAAAAAGAAATTATCTCTGGTGAAAAAAAGACTAATTGTACAGGTAAAAGTATAAATATTCATTATCAAATCAAATGTTCGAAACAGTTACAAATAACCTTTCATTTTCCCAATATTAAACTTTTTATAATAAGTCAATTTTTGACCTTAAAGTGTGGCCTTGACTTTCAGCTGGCACCAGGGTAAGATGGATTCTGCACATCGCCCAGTTGGGTGAACATTTGAGTAAAGTTTGAAGAAAATCCTTCCATTAGTAAAGAATTTAAAAGAGTGGACACAACATATCATCTAGTATTAATTGTATGTAAATTTAAAGACTCAAAAAAGGGGCATAACTTTTGTTAAAATGCAATACAGTGTTATGAAACTTGACCAGCATATCTTCATTGTGACCTTTCATATATATTTTAAGTTTCAAGCAAATACCTTTTCTAGATTCAGAAATATTCATATAAATGTTAAAATTTAAGAATATATTTAAGTCAATTTTTGACCTTCAAGTGTGACCTTGACCTGAAGCCGGCAAAAGGGTGACATGGGTTCTGCACATTTCCTTGTTGAGGTGAACATTTTGAGCCAAGATTGAAGAAAAATCATTCAATAAGTGTAGGACTTACAGAGCGGACACGACATACTGTCTATTATTTGTTTGTTTGATATTTGATCTTCAATTGTGACCTTGACCTTGAGCTGACACATGGGCAACATGGGTTCTGCACATCCCCTTGTTGAGGTGAACATTTTAGCCAAGTTTGAAGAAAATCCTTCAATTATTGTAGGACTTACAGAGCGGACATGACATATTGTTTGATATTTGACCTTCAATTGTGACCTTGACGTTGAGCTGACACATTGGCAACATAAGTTCTGCACATCCCCTTGTTAAGGTGAATATTTGAGCCAAGTTTGAAGTAAATCTTTCAATAAGTGTAGGAGTTACAGAGCGGACACGACATACTGTCTAATATTTGATTGTTTGATATTTGACCTTCAATTGTGACCTTGACCTTGAGCCTACACATACACAACATGGGTTCTGCACATCCCCTTGTTGAGGTGAACATTTGAGCCAAGTTTGAAGAAAATCCTTCAATTATTGTAGGACTTACAGAGTGGACACAACATACTGTCTGATATTTGATTGTGTTTGATATTTGACCTTCAATTGTGACCTTGACCTTGAGCTGACATATGAGCAACATGGGTTCTGCACATCCTCTTGTTGAGGTGAACATTTGAGCCAAGTTTGAAGAAAATCCTTCAATTGGTATAGGAGTTATAGAGCGGACACGAAAATGGAGACGGACCGACCGACGGACGGACGGACCGACCGACCGACCGACCGACGCGACAAAGCGAATCCATTATAGCCCCCCCCACATTTTGTGGTGGGGGTATAATTAGCAACTGCCAAAACGAAAGATTTCTCTGCGAAAAAAGTGGAAATGAAATGTGCACACTTGTTTCCCGTCAGTATGATAGATAGATCTCCACGTTAGAATTTTACGATTGATTATTTTCTTTATTAGTTTTATACAATAGAGAATAGATTTCAAATCGTTTTGACAAAAAATATTCGTTTTTACAAAAAAACACTAAATAAACCCTTTATGATATACAAATACCGTAAAATTGTGATAATAAATTGAAAACAAAAAAAAACCCCAACAATTTTAAAGGGTTGGGATGAAGCAGGTACATACGTACCTGGATGAAGGCACAACTGTGCAAGCCTTTCCTTTTAAAAGGAAACTTTAATTTTACAATAGCTTAAGCTCTTACATTTGGTTTGCTATTGCTGATCATGGTCATGCAACTACATAGTTAGGAAAAGAAGCAGACGCTTGTTTTGGTTGAGTCTATTATGTTCTATTTAGGGGGTGAGTTGTCATACACACATTTACAATTTATATGCATTTATTTTTTTCCAATGATTGTTATTACATGTATCTTAAATGCTTCTGGGATTGTTGTTTTATCAATTCATTTGTAAATAAGATTGTTATATGTCTATTAACGGAATAATTTTAATGAACACACCTTTATGTGTATTGATAACGTGATGGTTTAAGCCAATGAAAACACATCAATATTATTACAATCAGGCAGAGAAAAAGTTTGCAAAGAGAAAATCGATCATTTGTATGTAGCAAACAAACTTTGAATTGAAAGTATTTTTTCATATCTTTTCGGCAGGAAAAACTGTCCGAGGAGGGCCAGGCATTTTCGTATCGTAAAATGGCTGCCATTTACAGTATCAAGTGATTATCCCAAGCACCACCGCGACTTAGCGCAGGAATTATAAATATAGCTAACCTCGGCGCGTCGCATAGGATGGAAAGTACCTTTTTCATATTTTAATGTAAAAAATATTTACAACTGTGTCTTTCGTTTTTTTTATCAATATATAACCAATAATGATGTTAATATGAATAAATAATCATATCTATGACTTACAATGAAATTTTACCTTTAGTGTATTAAAAAGGTTTTTAGTTTCCTGTAATTTTATTCTGTGATTATGCTTCAAAGCAGTCAATTGACCGTGAGTTTTCTTTTCATATTTTGATTTCCTTGAAATCATTTTTCTCATCTGAAGGCATGCAACTTTAATATGATGATGTTTAAAGATATAAAATATCTCATGACATGTTTGTTCATTTTACATTACACCTTTAATGCAGCAAACATAAAAAGTCTTCACAAAAAGTAGTATGCAATCGTACCTATATTACATACGAATGTATGTAATATTTTTCTTGTTTATCTCCTACGTAGGAGTTATAAAGGCCTACGTAGGAGTTGCAAGGTCCTACTTAGGAGTTCTCTTTTTTTATAGAACATGTTAAATTGGCATCAGGACGCTTCCGTAATCTTCCCTTTTCTAGATTTTTACACTCGCAAAAGAAGGCGCAAGCCCTGTTTTGTGGCCCCACACTTCATTTCAGTGTAATTATATTTTTCAGGTCCTTCAGGATCATTATTGCTGACGATTGAATACTGCCGAAACCAGGACTTGAGCGATGTCCCACGTAACATTATTTACCATGACCACCTCGAGTTTGGAATTGTCAGTTTTTGGGGAGGCTATGCCTCCCCAATGTTAATACCATCCGTCAAATCTTACTGCCGCGGTAATCAGGTCAAAAGATAGTACCTTGATTTTTTCTAAGCTGACTCATCACTCATCACAGACATTTACAATATGAAAATATGTTCATTCTTTTATTTCATATCTGCAATTTGTAAAGATAATAATTCTCTGAAAAACTCTTGATTTTTGTTTGTTATTTTTTTCAAAATCACTACTCCGTGATGTCAAACTGCCGCGGTAATCAGGTTTAGGCATACGTACGTTGGTAATAAATAGTTCTGGTATGAAAACCCTTCTATATAATAACTTTATCAATATTTTTTTTAACAAAAAGCATAAATGAAAATTTAAAGGTAAATGCTTTAATTAGGTGGCAAATATTCTTTATTATGTTTGAAAACAATTTTCCAATTACTACGCAGCGACCAAGTGTTTATGACGGGTCATTAACTAGAACGTTGCAACACCGTAGTCTCAATATCACGCATGTTCTTTTGTTGTAATAAACCATTAAGAGTCCTTAATATTTTTTTAAAGACAAACAATAGTAAACTGTCGCTTACATCAGAGACATTGATCATGCTTGCGTAAAAACTAAGGAAAACTAACTTATTAGTACACCTTAGGAGGTTGTACGCGGAAAACGCTCATAAACCGCTATATCATATAGCTGTTAGTAAATATTTTGCATACATTTAACTAAAAATTCACTAATGGTGATGAACATATAGTTTGAAAACATTATATTCTTAAACCATGTATCGCCGAAAAAAAACTATTTAACTACAAAATCCGTAAGGACCCCCACAAGATTACATTTAATATTAGCAAAATAAAAAAAGCAATACTTATATTTTCATCTTACATAATTCATTTATCAAACTTTTAACATAAAAGTATCTTTTAAAACTATGTCTGGCAATTGACAGATCCCTACTCTGATCTTTTATTTGTAAAGGAATAAATTTAAACATATGCTCTTTTAAATTGTTTAGGAATATTTTGTAGTGAAAGTCTTAATATATCCACTAATCTCATAATTAGAACAAGCAATTATCATAGTATTGCAAGCAATTCATAAGTCCCCTACCGTTTAGAACCCCAGCATCATTCTGATTTCAATTTTACCAGTGAATGAATGACATGAATGAACTTAAATCTTTTGAGTTCTAAGTTTGTCTATTTCACAGTAATGTGTTAAGTTTCCCTGCCTAGTAAGGAAATTATGTTTATACAACCTTGTCATATTATTACGATGTGGGATTTTAAAGTAAATCCTATAAGGAATGAAGAAGTTGGAGTAAAAAATACCAATTTCTCGAAAAAAATCTAAGTTCAAGGGGGACATAATTCTGGAAATAGTCTTGCTAGAGTATTTAACCTTCTCAAAAATGTTGAGTGATAATAAGAAACATATATATGAAGTTTGAAGTAGATACATTAGGAAATAAAGAAGTTATTTAAAAAAGACAACATTTTTATTCCATAAAAATTCTAAGTTCAAGGGAGGTAATACTGATAATTTTTGTGCTAGAGTTGTAAACCTTGTCACATAATTATGATGTGGTTGATGACCAGAAACTTATATTTAAAGTTTGAAGTAAACACCTTAAGAAATAAAGAACTTATAGTGAAAAAGCTGAAAAATTAAAATCAGAAATCTTGAAATCCAGGCTATTTGTTGCCATAGCAACCAGAATTTTCAACATAGGAAGAAAAGAAAAAGATGTGCATAATCTGCAGACTGCCATCTACCCATATTTT